GGGCAACAGGAGATGCGAATTTGGGGAGGGGGAGTGAAAAGTGGTGAAAGGGGGGTGTTCGATGGGAGTGCTGCGGACTTACCACTGCGGTTGAGATCTGCGGCGCGGGGTAAACGGCGAACTCGAGTTTAGACTTCTTGCCGTAGTCGACGGAGAGCCGCTCCATGAGCAGGGAGGTGAAGCCGGAGCCGGTGCCGCCGCCGAACGAGTGGAAGAGCAGGAAGCCCTGCAGGCCGGTGCACTGGTCGGCCAGCTTGCGGATGCGGTCCAGCACCAGGTCGACGATCTCCTTGCCGATGGTGTAGTGGCCGCGGGCGTAGTTGTTGGCGGCGTCCTCCTTGCCCGTGATGAGCTGCTCCGGGTGGAAGAGCTGGCGGTAGGTGCCGGTGCGCACCTCGTCCACCACGGTGGGCTCCAGGTCGACGAACACGGCCCGCGGCACGTGCTTGCCGGCGCCCGTCTCGCTGAAGAAGGTGTTGAACGAGTCGTCGCCGCCGCCCACCGTCTTGTCCGAGGGCATCTGCCCGTCGGGCTGGATGCCGTGCTCCAGGCAGTACAGCTCCCAGCACGCATTGCCCGTCTGCACGCCGGCCTGCCCCACGTGGACCGAGATGCACTCCCTCATCTTGTCTGTCGGCGGTTGCGGTGGTGGTGAGTGTTGAGGTGCTTGAGGTTCGCGACGGGGTGGTGGTGGTGCTGGTGCTGGTTAAAAAGCGTGGCTCCGCGCGCGCTCCCGGAGTGCAACGAGTCCGTGGGTGCGTGCGCGTCGTCCGGCGTCCTCCTCCTGACTGGCGCACTGGGCCGCTGCGGTGCTCGCCCCGGCGACCAGCAACAATGCACCCCCGGGGGTCGCGCCGGTCGTGCGGGGCGCCGCGGGCCGCGACCTCACAGGGCGGTGAGCAGGGTGTGTTCAATGAGGCGGCGTGACCTGTCGCGGCCGGTTTGAGGTGTGTGTTTGTGGTGTTTGTGTGTGGGGTGCGGGGCAAGGGAGGGAGGGGAGGGGGTAGTGTTCCGTTAAGGACCCCACTGGCAGTGCGTGACTCTGCGTAAGGGTGTGTCTGGAAGTCCGCGCCGCGGAAGCCGAGCGCTCAGCCGACGTGGGTGTCGAATGGGCTGCCTACCTCACGGGCGTCAGTTCTCGCGTTCGCTCGGCCCTCGCGCGGGTTTTTCGTTGCCGTAAGTCCCCTAAGTCTGCATGATATCTCACATCTGCAAGGCAGAATGGTTCCCTACTTACGCCTCTCGGACAAACGTATCCCTGGAGACGTTCCCGTCGGCGTCGACGGGCGGGTCCCTGTTGTAGTCCACCAGGCCCATAGTGCCCATTCCGTTGTGGTACTGGACGAAGGTGATGGCCCTCTTCCGGAACGGGTCCATGGCGTCGAACATGGCCTCGACGTGTCTCAGCTGGAAGATGCTGAGGCTGTCGTCGAGCTCCGCGGTCTTGGCCACCTCCCCGCGACTCTGCACCGCCCTGTCGAAGAGGTCGGCCAGGAACGCAACGCGATCGCCTAGAACACACATACATACGGAAATAAAAATAGAAAACGAATAAGATTCAAGACGGGATAACGACGCATAGTAGTTACGTGGGGACGTACTGGGCCTGCTGACGGCCAGGTGGGCGATGAGGAACTGGACGACATCCCGTGTCCTCTTGTCGTTCAGGTATTCGATGATGGCGGGGTCCGTTGCTCCCGTCGCGGCTCTATCCTGGTCGAATCTGTCCATGTTTCAGACAACTGCCTCCCACAGGTGCGCAAAGGATTATCCGGCGCAAGTCCCGAAGCTCCCGGTTGCCACAACAACACTGACTCGGGCCTCGGGCCCCTCTCTCGCGCGTGCCCAGGGTGGCGTCCATGACGCTGGCGCCGGCACCATGGACCACAACCAACGCCCGATCGCGCCAGGTCGCGACCTGGAGAGGGCGTCCTCGGAGGAGATCGCGCACGTGCAGCGGCCGGACGACGGCTTCCCGGGTGGCTGCCGCGGCCGGCCCACCCTGACGATGGCCGCGGTGGTGACGGCCGTTGGCTCGCTGCAGGAGAAGCGGCCGCGGGGGGCGCGCTTCGGCGAGATCCTGGTGGTGCTGGGGCCCGCCTACCCGTCGCTGACGGCGTCCTGCCTGCGTCGCGAGCTGGCCCCGCTGCTGAAGCGCGGCATCGGGTCTCGGCTCCTGCAGTGCGACTCGCGCCGGAACTACACCGTGCTGCACCGCCACAAGATCCACGTGGAGCCCGACATCACGCCGGGCGCGGGGCCGCTACCGACGGGTCCCGAGCTGCTCCGGCGGCCGCGTGGCCGTGCTGGTGATGGCGCCGGCGCCAGGGCCGGGACCAGAAGGAGGCGGCGCGCGGGGGCGGCCAGCCCCGCCCGGCCGCGCGCAGGTGGGCCAGGCGCCACGCGGAGACGCAGAAGTGGTCGTTAGGTGGACTGCGGCGTCCCCAGCTGGAGCCATCACACTGCGATCACACTAGCTGCCTGAAAACGACGCAATAAAATCGCTTAATCATCGTCCCGTGACATTTGCACGCACGATGCGGAATGTTTCGTTCATCATCACTGATTATTGGGCGCGTCCCGCTTCCAAACCACACCGCGCTGACACTTACTCGCGCAGCACCTCTCTCACACACCCTCCCGGACGTGGTGGTGACGGTGGTTGACGGCCGTGCTCTGCTGCTCCGCCGCGCTCACCGCAGTCGCAGCAGTCGCCCCGGACGGCAAATCCATAAACCATAGGCCCCTCGCCCGGCCCGTGGGCGCGCCCACTTGTCACCGCGCGACTCTCCGCCAGCGCTGCTCTGTGCTGCGCTGCTTCACTTTTTGTCTCCGCGAGGAGAGGCGGCGTCGTCGTGCACAAATCATGCGGCCGGACAGCGGACGACGGCGGACAGCACACAGCACAGTGCGAGGCGTGGGCTTTGCGGAGCTGTACCGCGCGCGGAGAGGCTCAGGACAACAGCCCCTCTCTCGCCGCGGCGGTATGTACCGCGGAGTTTCTTGTCCAAGTCGCTGCGCCGCCGACGAGGCACGGGCCCTATTTAGCCATGGCGGCGGCGGCGGTGCGGTGGTGGTGCAGTGCAGTGCCCGCGCAGAAGCGCGCCTTGGAATGAGAAGCGCTCCGCCCCGCGCGATATCAAATGCAAGGTGCGGCCGGCGGCGGCGTGCGCGCACGCGCCCCGCCTTCGTCGTCGTCGTCGCCCTCACCATCTACGAGGTCCCGATAAGGGAATGGCAACACGTCGCGCCTTCCCGCGTCACGACGACGACGACCTCACCCAACCCCTGCTCAACATTTTTCTTGAACAAAAACTCGTCCGGCGAAGATGCACCACGTTGTATTTCTCATGAGCCCTCGCGTCTCCTTTTCCATCCTCTGCTCGGACCTGATGGAACAAACTTAGATTCCAGAAATGATTATTTTTGCGAAACTTGACCGAGCGGCTACTACCTTACTCGCAGTGCTGGCCGTATGTTGCAGGACGTAATGTATGAGCTCTCCGTGCCTCTGCGGTGTGGTGGAGCCGGTTGAGGACCGTGGGAAAGGGTCCGTCAAGGGACCGTAGGGATCGAGTATGTGAGGACTGAGAAGGAGAAGAAGCGGAGAACGAGAGAGAGAGAGAACGCGCATGACACCCCATGTCGTTATGGGCTGACTGGCACCTCCGCGGCCACCGCAGGCCACCGCCCCACCGCCGCTGTCCACCTCGGTGGCTTTGTTGGCGGGCGCGGCGCGGCTCTTTACCGGATACACAGAGACCCCCAGCGGGACCGCAAGCGCACCAAACCTTCCGTGAAACTGCCCCTGTCATCACAAACTAAAAGAAGAGACGGAGAGAGAAAGAGAGAGAGAGAGAGAGGCTGTGGTGTCCCACGAGACGTGAAGGTAGGACGACGAATTCCACCGGAGAGATCCGCAGGGAGGGTGCGGAGGACGGGTACGGGAGGGCATGAAGGACGAGCGGACTCGAACAGGGCAAGGCTGAGAGTGACGCGTTTCGCTTTCGTGAGGCATGCCAGGATCGCGAGCATGCGGGCGCTCACACACTTATGCGCACACACACACACACACACACACTCGCCACATGCGTAATAGTTATTAGCCCAAGCCGAAGCGCGGAGTCCATGAGCGAGCCGCGATGACAGAACTGGCACGGAAAAGCCTACCCACGCTACGCCACTCCACGCCCAACCTTTACTAAGTTATAATAAGTGACATACACACATACGGAGGCATGCACACGGTGGTGTAAGGCCACATCGCCATCCGACCACCACACTCCAGACCTCGCCCCCCGCGGTGGCGGCGGCGGGCCTCAGCGTCGCGGAGCACTGGCAGCAGATCGAGCTTTAAGCGGGCCCCGCCCCTGCCGCGAGTCGAGTGAGTGTGTACAAGACTGTAATCTCATTACCGTGCTCCGTGACCCACTTTGCGAGTGTGAGCGCGAGAGAGGGCAGGCGAGAGCAGCACGCAGTGAGTGCGAGAGAGATAGATACTACTGATACTATTGCTTGGTAGGGCGGAAAACTTTTAGGCGCGGGCTTCGGTATACGGACGGAGTGGTCAAACCCCTCACATATCTATCTCCCACATATCTAAGTAAGTAACCCCCAACCCCCTCCCCCATGGGTGTATGCATGTGTGTGTGTGTGTGTGTGTGTGTGACAGAGATGCGGGCATAGCGGTTATGGTGGAGAGGCCGCCGCCGCGCCAACCCCTGTGAGCAAGCATAGGGCAATTAGGGGCGTTGAAATAATAAGTCCGCGTAACGAGACCGAACCGTCGCCCCTCTCGCGGCCCGAGCCGCCGCCGCGTATAGGGCAGTGCGAGGCAAGGCGAGGCGAGGCGAGGAGGTGCTCTGCTCTCCAATCGCGCGTCCTCATCTGATCATCGGGCCCAGGCTCAGGCTGGCAGCGGGACTGCAAGCGAGCTCTGCTGCGACTTTGCTCGCTCTCTGCTGCTCGCCGGTGCAGCTGCTATATGGAGCCCGCGCGCCGCCGTCGGCTCTGCGCGACTTGTCGCTCGCGGACCTCTAAATCTGAATCTGAATCTGGATCAGATCTCTCTAGGCGCTCGCGGGGCTGGGCTTTGCTCGCGCGCGCGCGCCCGCTGCTCGCTCCGCTCGCAAACCTGCTCGGTTATATAAGGCTTTGGCCGACCCGGGGCGAGCAGACCGCGGTGCACTCGCTCTTATCTCCTACGCGGTCGCGTTGTACTGGACATATTTCTCCGTCGTACGCCTGGAGTGCTCTCGGGGTGTGTTCTCAGGCAGAAGGCATGCAGCGGTGCGAGGTGTGTAGGGCTCTGGAGAGTCCAAAGCAGGGTGTGTTTCAACACGCGTGCTCTATGTGTGGCCATGGTGTGGCCGTACTCGAAGATGTGTGTTGCTCTCCCACACAGAGGGAGGACCCTGCAAGGCTCGACCTGTACCGTCTGAACTGAACAGGCAATACACCGCAGTGTTGCGGGTTTGCCTACCCGATCTGCCCGTAAGGCGCCATAGCCCCTTGGGTATGCAAACCCGCAACACTGGGGAGTATTAGCCCTTACACTCGTTACTCTGGAGTTTCCAGGTGTACTCAAGGCAGGGTGCTGCACGCTACACGTGCGCACTGCTGGCCGGGTAAAAGGGCACTCGTCGCGACGGGTGTTCGAACCCAGGCGGAGAGCAGGAGGGCATTGGGTGGGCTTGGGCAGCGGTCGTGCTCGCGTCGACCCCGAGCTCCGGGGCAGCCGCGCCGCGGCGGCAGGTGAGTAGTGGCCGTAGTAGTACTACGACGTGGAGGAGGAGGAGGAGAGAGGGAGGAGGCTGTCGGTTACGTCATGGGCGGACCTGACCGGAGCACGCCGCTGCCCGTGGCGCAGGCCGCGCCGCGCGCGAGGCCGATGCTGCTGGCCGGGGTCAGATCGTGCACCCACTGGCCCGCCACTCCCCGCCCTGCCCCGAGAGGGTACCCCGCCTCGGGGGGAGGTGCGCCCTCCTCGTGAGCCCCAGCCGCCGCCGCCACACCCGACCTACCGCCTACCGTTGCGTAACGAGACCACCCAATCTCCGCGCCATCTAAACATCTACCCCCTTTGCACCCTGCTCCTGGTCCTCCTGCGTCTGGAGGAATACTGCGACGCGCCGGCGGCTGAGAACCCGAGAATGACCCCCGCGACGGCCGCTAGCGGGTAGAAGTACTTGTCGGGCAGGTGGGGTACAAGACACGCTCGTGCGGCCGGGCCAGGCGGTCAGACAGGCGGACCAAGAGCTCTTGGGCGGACTGGTGAGACGAGACGGGACACAAGCCCGGCCCACAAAAAGGACTTTTATTATTTATTCCGATGGGCCCGGCAGATCGCGCCCGATACGACGACGACGAGAGGCTCCGGGCACACGTCAGCAGCAGCCACACTTTTATGCCCCGGTCGTCACCAGGCGCGCCATCAGCCCCAGCAGCCCAGCAGCAGCACCGCGAATGTCGAGCCGGGGGAGCAAGCCTCGCGCGCGCGGGGCTCAGATTTAAGCTTACTTTATGGCCCGGGTCCTTCCTCCGGGAGGCCCCGAGCCGATGTGATCCGATGTGGCACGAGCTATTTCCGTCCCGTGTTTATACTTGTCCCGCGCCGATCCCCAACTACAACGACGCGCGCGGATACATATTCGGGTTTTTGTACCAGTCTCTCAGCATGCCGAGGTGACGGTGGTGACCACTCTCCGGGTGGCAACACACGTCTCCAAGTCGCTCGCGCGCGGGGGGGTGGGGGTTCCGACCTGAGATTGCGCCGTCCTTGATCAAAAGTGCCCCTCTCACACTGGCGTCGTCGTCGACGCGTCGTCCGTTCGAACGTTTTGTCTCTATAATGGCGCTGTGCCACAGCCATGCAGGCACGTCGCGCTTGAGTGGAGGAGGAGGTGGGGGACGAGGGGGAGGGTGAGGACGACGGGGTCGTGCCGAGCGCAGCGACACGGGCGCGACACCGTCGTCACGTGACCACATTCGCAATTGCACGACGCCACGCCACGCCACACCCGGCGTGATGTTCGCGACGTCGTCTCCTCAACTGTCATCAAGTCGGCGACACGATCCTCCTCTCTCCGCTGTTTGGGCGTGGCGGCATGCGTCGGGCGGGGCTCGGCGGGGTGCGGGAGTCATGGAGTCATGGCACGCGGGGTCACCAGCCGGATCAGGGCGTGGCGGGGGAAAGGGGGGGGAGGCGGCAGGCGTCATGCCCGTTGTATTCTGTCGTGGCCTGTGGCCTCCTGGAGGGTTCGCGAGGGTCCACGCCGCCGGGACCGCACGAGCCGAGGGGGCAATAACTCCCATTTTAAGTGTACACATGATTCCCGAAAGAACTGATTCCCGTTGATTCCCGTGATTCCTGGTGATTCCCGTTGATTCCCGTTGATTCCTCGGATTCCCGTTGATTCCCAGTGATTCCCGGCGATTCCCTGTGTTTTTCGCTGATTCCCCTTGATTCCCGATGATTCCCGATGATTCCCGATGATTCCCGGTGATTCCCTTGATTCCCACATGATTCCCGTGATTCCCGTGATTCCCGCATGATTCCGGCATGATTCCCGGTCCGGTGTACACATGATTCCCGGAGTTATTGCCCCCTCGGCACGAGCTGAAGGGCTCTATGGTGCCTCGTTGCAGTTGAATTGCAGTCGCGCGGGAAATATGCATGGGCTGATCGAACACGACGGCTGACGACGGTGGTGGGTGCGTCTGTTGGCGTGGTGTAAAAGTATTTATTCAAGAGATGTTTCAAGAGATGTTTTAATTTTAAGCCCTTAAGCCAACACAGTTTTTCATTCAGACACTTTTGTCTCCCACCATTGTTGGGACCCGGAAACCCTCGCTGATGTCCCTAATAACGAGGTATTACTGCCGGTTGCGCCTGGCGGGTGGATTCACATTAAAGGTTTCCCGTTTGTGGCGCTGCTGCACGGGGCACCGCGCTGCTGCTGCTGCGAGTCGGTAATGAAATATCGGCTGCTCGTGTGTTTTCTACATCATTAGGATCCGCCGCGCAGCGCCAGCGCCGCTCGGCCCATTACAATAGCGGCGGGAAAGGGAAGGGTCGTGCAGAGCCGAGCCGAGCCGAGCCGAGCCGAGCAGCAGCAGAGACTGTGGACCCGCGGCACCCGCGGGATCGTCGTAGGGCCCAACGGGACGGGGGCTGAGCGGGGCGGCGGCGCGCGGCGGGGTGGTAGGGAAGACTCTAACAACATCCACCGCACAGAACTATCCTTTTTCGTTGGGGAAGTCCCTCTCATGATGATTAAGGGGCAAGAGTCTCGTGTTCGGCGCTGCTGTGTGGTGTGCCTACTGAATCCGCGCCGCTACGTTCGAAAGAGTTAAGTGAAAAGACGCGGATGAATTTGCTACTGCTATACTGCTTGATAAAGACAGAGAGATTTTTGCGGTTCGATTATTTACTGATTACGTCATTGAAGGACAACGTGTCATTGGTGAGATGGGAAACATTTTTCAGTGGGTGGTGAGGTGGGGTGGGGGGCGGTAAAAGTGTTACAAATGTGTTCGGAGACAGCAGAGCTGCTCGCCGCACGTAGGAAACACGAGGTATATCATTAACGGTGATGCGACAATCAAAGACAATGGCCGCGAACGTGTCTGGCCCACCTGCGTGCGTGTCTGTATGCGAAGCGTCAAAAGGTTCAGGCACTTCCTCTTAGAGTATGGAATGACTCATCCCGAAGTCATAATACCAGAAAGTGGAGTTTTCGATGTCACAATCATCGATTGTTTCGAGACTCGAATGTTTTCTTTAAAAGCATCCCCGCACCAGCCATTCTCGTTTCCGGGGCCTTTTATCTCTCCTTTCCAGGGGGACACGGTGCGAACAAACCGCTGGCCGCGCCACTCCTGGAGATGGACGACGCGTCCTGAAGTGTCCTGGAGGCGGCTGGAGCCGCAGGACCGGCCCGTGCCTGGAGAGTGTGTGTTCCATCAGGGAGATAAGAGGTGACATTAACCATGGCCCCAGCGGCTCGCGCACGAGGCACGGTGGAAGGTGACGTCTCTCTCTCTCTCTCTCTCTCTCTCTCTCTCTCCCTCTCTCTCTTCGCTCGCTCCTATTCGCTCTCTCTCTCTCTCATTCGCTCTCACTCCCTCTGTCTTTTCACGCCCTTTCTTCCGTCACACCTCTCTTTTTCCCTTCTTTAGATACCATCAGAAAGGTTTCCTCCCTCCCATGTACCACGCGCCGCGAAAATTAAACGGGCAGAAGGAGAAGGTGTCATAAGTATTTTCGAGGACGGCGTCAGCAAGGTGTCATAGTACGGCAACGAGTCGCGGCAAATGTGTGGCGCTTGGCCAATAACGGATAA